TTTCCATTGAAGGACTGTTTTTTTATTTTGTGATTTTGCATTGAAAACTTTAAAAGGCTATATCACTTTTCAAATCATTGCCACCAAATACTGTCACCATGTATTATATTTGAAGAAATAAATAATGAAGAATCTGCATAAATGTATATATGTTTCTCTTATTCTGATAGAACAACGGTACCTAGAGCCATCCAGTTTTGAATAATGTAATCCTACAGTGAATATGGGCATCTGAAAGCCCAAATTTGAAATTTGGAATTTGTTTTGTTATCGATTTCATGTTTTGTAAAACTTTGACAAATTCAACGAGTTAAAAGTGAGCAATGGCAACACTCTGCAGGGGGGGGGACCTTTTGCAAAGAAAAATAAGGAAGCCATGGCCTTTGAAATAAATAAAGAAATCGTAGCTAAACATAAGCATGGTGTAAGAGGGATGGAATTGACGAAGACTTACGGCCTTTCCACATCGACAATCTGCACTATTCTGAAGAAGGAAAAAGGTGAGAAACTTAATGTAGGCAAAGGAGTTACCGTTACTTCCAAGCACTGTCTAGAACTCCTAGAAGCTGTTGTTGGCGTGGATTAACAAGAAGCAGATAAAATAGATGTCGGAAGCAATCATTTGTCTGAAGCTATCATAATGGTAAACTACAGTTATGTTATTTACCAGTGTTATTTATTAGAAAAATTGATTTTTATGTGGATATTTTTGGGGGTGCAGAATGGATTAACTGGATTTCCATTACTTTTAATGGGGAAGTTTTTTTCTAGATATGAGGAATTCGCTATACGAGCATTGAGCTTGTATAGCGAATGCTCGTATGAGTGATCTGACGAATTATACTCGTATCTCGAGGTTCCACTGTATAATACCACATCAGGAAAAAGCACCTATGTGATTAGATCAATATTTGATCTGTTTAATGATGGGAGTGGCTGATTTGTGCTTGGAATCACTACAGCTACACCCTTTCGATCATTTTTAATATGATACAAGGGGTCGCAACTGGCTGTTGCAGGCATGGTTGTGAACCCTATGCATCGATGTGATTGATCATTGCATTGGTGGGCTGTTTTCCTTGTGTGTGAGTATCCATCCCTAGCTAGGCTCTTTATTGAACTGCTGGACATAGTGCTGTGGTGCATGTGACTTTTTCATTTGTTCCGCAAGTGGCAGGAGGTGCATAATCTTAATATGTCATTGTCACCAATGTGTCAATCCTGTGCATTAGCTCACTTTCTCCCTGGTGCTTTTGTTCATGTTGCCATTTATCAGCTCAAATCAGAAGTACAGTGCTGCATGGCCCTCCAGTGTCCTCGAAGGCGGTAAATGTCAACAATTAATATCATCCGACACATGTTACTAATTGTTGACATTTGTGGTATGAATTGACAGTGCCTTGCTCAAACATGTTTCATAGTTGAAATGACTTCAAGCAAGCTTTTTATGACATTGCTTTCATCACATGCTGTATTTTTTCAATATTCACTGTATCCACCCAATTTATGCTCTAGTTTCTAACATTTTACAATTTATGCTCTAGTTTCTAACAGAATTGGTTGTTAGCACCTCAAAAAAAAAAAAAAAAAAAAAAAAAAAAAAAAAAAATCTTATAGGAATTATTGTTTTCACTTTTTTATCAAATCACAATAAATAATGGTTGTTAAATAATGTATTTCTTTTATCTTTGATTTTATAAAAGCATGTCACTGAATGCAACATAATCACTGAAAACAATATTCTACAACTGCTATTTTATACCATGAGTGTTATTAGTAAAATTGGTTTCTAGAATCTATATTATTTTCATTCAAAATAAAATCCTAAGAGTTGTGAGGAAATTTTTTATTAGCTTAAAAGTTTTTCTCTGTTTCTTTTTACATTTAAAAACGTTTTTTACATTTTAAAAATTTTTTATAACATTTGATGTAGACTGTTTTTCAAGGTGTTGTGTTATAATCTGGTTTTTAAAATTCCAGTTTTTTTTTATTTGTATTTTTATTAAATCTTGCTTTCAGTTCGAAAATTGTGTTTCTTCATTTCTCATCTATCTTCTAAGTTGTCTGAAATAATAGAATCTACTATTTTCTAGTTTTCTGTAGCTTTATTTAATTACTCCATAATTCCGTATCTCGATTATTACTTTATTTAATGTTAATAATGTCTGAGTGTATGTATGTCACATGAATATCCTGTTTTCTGTAGTCTATACTATTAGGTTGTTAGGAAAGTAATTTAATTGTTTCATGAGAAAAAAATTCCTTGCAATATATAAATGTTCTATTGAATTATATACTAATCATTTTGGTCCAGTACTTTTTGCCATTTTTTTTGGTGGTAGCATAATTCTATAACCATAAAAATTTTGACCATCGCTTTTCATTTTTGGCATTCTCATTTTATTACACTGCTCGACATTGAAAATGCAATACCAAGAAAGAGTGGTCAGAAATTTATGCAAATTTTAGAGTAGACACACACATCACTGAGTTATGCGAATGATGTGAAATGCACAGCTCTCCTACGCACGTGAAATAAGATATAAGGGAAGGAACGTGCAGAATGAGCAATATTCGTGTTGTTATTTCTGCCAGATGAATTATCGAAGAAAGGTGGGTTTTTGTCCCGCAGGATACGTGTAATAGGAGAGAATGCCATGTCGCCGTCAATGGAGGCACTTCCAGCAGATAGACGATTTTACAAAGGCTATGGTGATCGGACTGAGAAGGGCAGGTTGATCCTTACGTGAAATTGCAGCTGATACCCACATGGATGCACGGTGCTTCAGCTAGTACAAGGAAATGTGTGAAGAATGAGGGGTGCAGGTGCAGCCAGAGTGACGTCAGCACATGTGGATTGAAGCATCTGCCGACAAGCTGTGGCCATCCCCCAGTCACTTGCACCGTGATTCTGTAGCATGTGCAAGATACCCTGCATGTTTCCGTGTCGACCAGAACCATTTCCTGTCGATTGGTTGAACGTGGCCTGCACTCACGGCGTTCGTTAAGAAGACTGCCATTGACCCCATAGCATCGACGCCAACATTTAGAATGGTGCTGGACTGGAGCAATGTGGATGACAGAATGGCGAAGCGTTGTGTTCTCAGATGAATCATGCTTCTGTTTATCCAGTGACAGTCGCCGCATACATGTCTGGCATCGACGTGGAGACAGATCTAATCCGGCAGTAACTGTAGAACGCCCCATCGTGCGACAACGTGGCGTAATGGTTTGGAGCGCTACTGCCTACGATTCCTGGCCACCCTCTAGTTCGTATTCAGGGCACTATGATAGCCCAGTGATACTTGGATAATGTACTGCGGCCGGTGGCAATCCCCTACCTTCAGGGGGTGCCTAATGCAATTTTTCAGCAGGATAACACCCGACCACACAGTGCTCGCATCTGCCAACATGCTCTGCAAGGTATAGAGGTGCTTCCCTGGCCACCGTACTCTCCTGACCTGTCACCAATTGAACATGTGTGGGATGTGATTTGATGCCGTTTGCAGACTCTGCCCCTGCTTCATTCAGAAGATGAACTGTGGCAAATGGTTGAAAGGAAATGGAGAACCATTCCTCAGGACACCATCTACACTCTTATTGACTCTATGCCTAGACGTGTTTCTTCGTGCATCGCTGTCCGCGTTGGTCTTGCATCCTACTGAGCTGACGCCATTCTCACTCTGTATTCTGACTATCATTTTGAAATAAAGATCACTTATTGCTGCTTTCTGTCTGTGTCTTATTTCCAAATTTCATCAGTTTCTAACCATTCCTTGTTGGTGTTGCATTTTCAATGTTTCAATGTCGTATTTAAAATAATTTTGTATAGGCCAGAATAAGAATAATCTGAGGGTGCCAAATACTGAGATCATACTGGGTGTGGTAGTACAGCCCATCCAAGCTAAACATCTGATAAGTTAAACATGTGCAAGATCTGGCTTTATCATAGTGAAATATAACACCTTTTCTATAGGTCAATTCTGTTGGATGATATCACTGAATTTGTTCAATAGATGACAGAATTCACTTGCATTTAACTTTATAAACAATCTGTTTCTCATTGTTAGTTATGATTCATGTGAAAGTGATTAATGTTCGTGATATTTCAGAAGCTAGGTATAGATGACAATGTTACATTCCAAATCTCACTTTTTAAGTATACAAGGAATATATATATCAATCCTTGAAAGAAGGCTAGGTTGTTTCATGTGACTGTAAATAGTTGAATTTGGCAAAGATAATCAACTTCGAGTGGCCTTTCAGAACATGGTGTCGTATTCAATATCAAAATTGCCAGAATGAAATTTTAAGAACCACTTTTGGCACTGGTATTTATTGACACAATTTTGCCATTATATTTCATCATTTTTTGTTTAACAGCTTTCTTATCTTTTTGATAATAAAAAGCAAAATATATCGAAAAATGCTACTTTCGATTTTCCATGTTTGATGAGGGGAAAAAAAAATTGCACGGAATGAAAAAGACTTTTTTTATAAATAAGCCTTGAAATGCCAGCTCTCAAAATATATAACAGTGTGGTTTAGAATGAAGTTAGCTGGTTTAAAATACAACTAATATTTTTGATGGCCAAAAAAAAATATATATGTGAAACTACTTAATGTGAAGAACCAGATATTGTCTGCAGTAAATTTTGGAATGTATTTCTTGTAGGTATGAACACAATATTATGTATTTTTATAACAGAATGAGCCACAAGAAAGCACTACTTCTAATGCTGGTGTCATGCTTTTTAGAGAAGGCCATAACCTTTTGCCTTCTGTCTGCATTGTTTGTTTATTTGTCAACTTTGCATTACCAAATAAAACATTGTTCCAGCTTTATTTTGCCTTTCTATTGACTCCTTGTCTGCATATCACATCAGAAAGATGATGCCATTTTGATGTATTATCATTGGAGGCTGGATACATTTTCATTGTCTGCCCTGTATTATTAATAATAGTAGTTTCATTTACAGAAATAATATTTTTCTTTTCAGGTTCAGAACTTTTATAACATTCAAGACAAGTATTTGGTTTGGGCTTTTATTAAAGCATTAACTGCTCTCTTGTACTGTTTATCTAAAACGTCTTTCAAGAAACACCTTGAAGTTTTTCTTCAGAAACTGGAAATGACAGGCTTTGATGAGAGTAATGTGCCAGTTTTAGAATTGCTGATTTCATTAGTAAACAATTGTTTGAAGTCGCCCAGCATTACTTCTAATAAAAGCAAGTGTAGAGGTGCTGTCCACTGCATTGTGGAATCCGTTAAAGGTTAGTTTCATTTTGGAAAACTTTAATGCCAAAAATAAATATATTTTGTAAAAATTACATAGACCTGTGAAATTTAACTTCATGTTTTTTTTTTTTTTTTTTTTTTTGTTTTTTTTTTTTAAACTTGTAGCATTCTGAAGTGTTGCAAAACTTGAACAAAAGTAGTTTTTTATATTCATAAATTAAAACGTACATAATTCATAAATTCGACATAAAAGTTTTTTATATTCATAAATTAATACTTTGCAGGCAAATAAAAGGCTGATCACATTCCCTCCCTGATGCTACGGAATCTCTTTCCCCCCCCCCCCCCCCCGGTTAAGAAACTCTCCTCTAGACATGTTTGGTTAATTTGGTTACAGAAATATAGAGAGATGTCAAATTTTATACTTGAATATCTCTTACAATATATTTTTTAGATGAGATTTTTATGTTTCTGGTAAGAAAATATTCAGATCATGCAAATGCATCTACAAGGTGTGTTCGAAAAGTTCGGTGATTGGTCTCATAATTAAAAAACCGCACCAGTTAGGATCTTGCACTCACGCAGACGCAGTGAGAGAAATGTCATTTAGAGCCATCTAACGGCCATTTTACGACAGATAAGAGGAAGCGCACGCTATGAGCAGATTAACACAGTCAGTGTGAGAAAGATTGTCAGTGTGACAATGGAAGCAAACGCATAAACATAAAGTTTTGCTTCAAGTTAGGGCAAAACGGCGACGGAGACACATGACATGTTAGTGAAAGTTTACGATCAGGAAGCAGTGAGTAAAAAGTGTGTTTATGAGTGGTTTAAATGCTTTACAGACGGAAAGGAGGATGTCAAAGATGAGCCGCGGTCGGGGCGCCCTACAACAAGCACAACTCCAGACAATGTGGAACGAATTCGACGGATGCTTGTGGCAGATCGATGACTATCTTTAAGAATGATAGCTGGCGAATTGCAGATAAGCCTAGACAGTGTGAGCACCATTGTGCACAAACATTTACATAAACGTAAGATTTGCGCCTGGTTTGTACCGCACTCGATGTCAGACGAGCAAAAGCAATACCGGATGGAAACATCTGGAGATTTTATCGACATGTGTGACCGGAATCCGCAATTCTTGGAAACAATATTTACAGGGGATGAGTCGTGGTGCTATCAATATGATCCGGAGACCAAGCGGCAATCCATGGCATGGTGTTCAATGTCGTCACCCCCTCCCAAAAAAAGTCGTTTGACACAATCCAGGATCAAGACGTTGTTGATCGTCTTTTTCGACAGTAAGGGTTTGATGCATCATGAATTTGTACCCGCAGCTACAACCGTCAATGGGGAATACTACGAGGAGGTTTTGAAACGGCTGCTGCTACACATACCCCGGATTCAGCTACAGTACCGGAATGGACAGTGGAATCTGCTCCATGACAACGCCCAGCCGCACACTGCGATCTGTGTAACCCAATTCCTCGACAGGCACCAGGATTCAGTTTTGGATCACCCTTCATATTCTCCAGATCTGGCTCCCATGGACTTCTTCCTGTTTCCCCGCCTCAAAGGAGTTCTGAAAGGCCAACACTTTTTCGACATTACTGAGATCCAACAACGTGTGACAACGGTGCTTCGAGCCATACTGAAAGAAGCGTTTGCAGACAATTTCCAACAATTGTACACCCGATGTAAAAAGTGTATTGTTGCTAATGGCGAATACTTTGAAGGCCAGTAAAGCTATTTTGCTTGTTTCTCTTGTTTCTTTTTTTTTTATGGTAAAATTCACCGAACTTTTTGAACACATCTTGTATATTATCCAAGTATGCAGTGTTCTTCATTATACCTAGTTGATGAAAATGGCATGCAAAAGTTTTTGTTGGCCATAGATGTCAGTTTGAAGTACATAATTAGTCATTTCCATATTGGGGACATATCACTACTTTTTCATATAGCTGAGTGAGAGAAAAATGCTGCTCTTTGCTTACCAGAACCTTACTTCAAAACAGGGTGAGATGTAATAACTGATATATTTTTTATATTTGTAAATCTTAAGCATGGTTTCAAAAAAAATAGATTGATCTAAGTTGCAACAAAAGAAGATCTAGAAGGATTAAGAAAAAATAACTATATTCAATAATTTTTATTAAAGTTAGAAATACAATTCTGGTGTTTTATAAAAAGAATAAAAATGTACTTAATAAATTCACTCTTCAACTGAAAGATTCTCAAAATGAAAGAAAAGGCAGAGACTTATACTTTTTACAATTCCATTAAGTTTACGTTATAGACCAAATAGCTAAGAAACTGTTAAATCTGCATCATGATGCTAGCTAATGCATATTTATTTCAATATTTTATATCTTGTGGCTATAAATACTTTGCTCTTGTTAAGGAAACAATGGGAGAAAAATCAGAACAACGGATTACATTTTTAGTTAGCAGATGAACTAAAAGTTTAATTAATGATAATGATTTTATTTATTTATTATATTTCAAGAATTTTGAGTATATTTGAAGAAAGCTAAAAGATATCTTTCATAGAACAGTCCCAAAATTTTCAGTTGAACTACAACATTTTTAATTCAAACCGATGTTTAATTTGTCACCACGCGAAAAGCATTAATTGAGAAAGAAATTCCTTTTGTGACTATTAATAATTTAAGATACCAAATTTGAAAATGCATAAGATAAATAAATTTATGATTATTAACATTTATATCTCGAACCGCAAAGCAGGACAGTTTGACCCGTTTTATTTTTTCGTTAAAATTATGTCTAAACTTAGTTAAATGATATAGTACTCTGTTTTTTCACCAAAACTAGAAAAATTGTGTTTTATTTTGTTTAAAAGACACATTATACTTAAGGAAATAAAATTTTAAATAATACAATTTTCTAAAAATTTAGGTAATTACCATTGATTTATATAAAATTTTTAATGTAAATTCTGAGAAATATTGATTGTTACATAAAAAATAAAATGCTTTAGTTAACTAAAGTAATCACTTGTGCATATTTTTAGGTGTTTTCTATCTAGGGTCAAATTGACCCACGCCGCAGATCGAGGTATATTGGAAATCCTGCGGTTCTAGTGTTAAAGTGCAAAGGCAACAAAACTGCAGTTGTGTGGTCTGAATGTAAAGAAATGTATTTAAAACAAACAATAACCATAGCATTTTGCATCAAATGCTGGAATGGCAGTAATTTATTTTTAGTAATAATGTTTGATTATATATTGCAAATTTATGACATAATTATGATATAATATTTTATTAGTGTGTTATTTCCAAATTCTGTTTAAAAATATAACTAAATCTAAAGGAAAAATTTTATATATACAGGTTATATAGGAAACTCACATTTAATTTTATGTGACCTGAGAGAAAATAGTATATTATTATCATAACATTATTTATTGTAACAAATGCAGTATTTTTTTTAACAATGTATAATATTGAAAATAAATTACTTCTATCAGAATAACATTTACTGTGCATTTTAAATGTATTAAAAATAAAATATTTTAATATAAAGATGAAAGTTTTTCAGTCTTTTCATGCGTTAAAGCTAATGCTGTATTTTTTCTATATTGTTTTTAATGATTTATTTTCTTTTAAAATTGCTAAATATTTCAAATTATGAAAATTACATCTAGTTTATTTTAATTGTTTTTAAATTATAAATCTTGCACTTTTTCCCCAGATCTTTGCTTTTGCTGTTGTGTGGAGTTATCTATTAGATGGGAACTATTTGTAAAACAGTTCAGAGAAATTTCAAGTTTTTCACAGGAAAGTAAAGTGTTGAACTCATTTCTTGTTCTCTGGAAATCTTTCTCTGAAATCCAACTAAGCGAAGATAAAAACTGCATATTTTTTAATGAGCAGTTTGCTGTTGAGTTTTTGTTTTATCCTTGTGGAATGTCTGTGACAACCTTTGAACTTTATCTGGACGTCATTATGCAGGTAAGCCTTTTTTTTTCATATATGTTTTATATAACTATCAAGGATAGGATTCCTTTAATATACTAGTTTATTAGAGCTGGTTTCTGTAGTATATTTATTTCTGAAAATTGGCTGTTAAAATTGAATTGTAATATTTATATCTTCTTAGTAACTAATTTTACTGCATATTTAGAGATAAAAATCTGTGATTTGTATATTAGCAATGATAAGCAACAGGGGATTTATTACACAATGACAGGCATAGAAATTTGTTCCATTTCTCTGTGGGTAAAATTGTTCAGAAACGTCCTTGTTGGTGAATTAGACATCCTGGAGGCTTTTACTTCAATAAAATGCTTTTGTTTCTGGTTAGTGATTCCAATCCTGCTTGCTCTTTACTGTCACCCTGTAAAAATTTTGTTTTGCAATTGCTTTTTGTTCATGTTTTGATTAGTAGATGGCAGTAGTGGTTTTGTTTTTAGTCATTTAGCTGGAACATTCTCAGCTTTCTTTCTGTTAAGCATATGTTTCTTTTTTTTCATTTTCTCTGTGCATCTGAAGAATATTTGGTACTCTAGCATTATACTCCCAATCTTAAAAAGAAATCCAGGGCAAAGCTATATATCAACAGAGTAGACAATCCTGAGTTTTACAAAAATGTGTTTATCAGGAACCCATCAAATGTTGTATGCACATAATGCCAGCATGTAATGTCAAATTTGCATGGTTTCTAAAGGGTGATTTCTGCTTGCTGGGAGTTAGTGTTAGAGTTTTTTATTTGTAATGAATTATAATATTGCTGTATGATTGCTATTAAAAAAGAAAGCACTACACTTTTTCAGAAATATGGCATTTAGCCTATTAGTAGAGAATGTAGGAGTCACATTCCATGAAGTTAATTTGTGCAATTCGTCATCAAGAAGGAAAGAGATCTACCACACATTCAATTTCTTTGCTCCTGATGAAGAGTGACCTGAACCTGTTTGCCCTAAAAATCGATAGTAATAATCTAAAACCTATGCCAAACACAAGGCTGTTGCTTTGCTTATTTAAGTAACAATGCATTTATTTGGGCCACATCTAATGGCATTCAAGAGAATCTGAAGGAAGGATTAAAAACTAAGGCCTCTTTCTCAAAATTAATGCAAGATGCAAAATAAATATTTAGCTACAGTTTTATTTCTTAAAATTTATCCTAAAATATAGTAAGGTTCTGGTATTAATAAGTGGATCTTATTTTCAAGTAAACATGAGAGTCTTTTCATTCCAAATATTTTTAAATTCTGATTAAGCAGTAGTCTATAAAATTTTCAGAACATTTCTAAAATTTGATAAGCTTGGGGGGGATTTTTACTTTTTGTTGTGGATAAATGATATAATGATCTATTGAAAAGCAGAATTTTGTGATTTTGTTTACTTGTCACTTTTTAAATGTTCTTGAGCCATCTTGTCAAAAATGTTCTATCTATACATTTTTACCCTCCTAAAAAAAATTACCAACTCATTGGCAACTTTGTTGAACCCATTTTTTCTCCCTTTTCGTCAAAATTATGGCATGAGGTTACCCTCTATTTCTCATGCCAGTGATATTTCTGGGCTGGAATGTTCAAAAGAAACACACCAAAAAGATTAAAAACAATTAAATTCTTATACCCAGAAACATTTTTATTTCTTATTTTACGTACCAGTACCCTTGATTTAAAGTTAAAAAAATTCCGAGAAATTAAAAATGAATACATATATCGTTCATACATTTATTTTAAAATTATTTTCTTGAATAAAAAAAAAATACGCACCTTTTTTACTGTTTTGTTGGAAATTACGCGATCGATAAGGGGTTAATTGCCATAAAATGTTCATTTGGCCCCTGCTACCACTCATATTGTAATAATAAATAAAATAATAAAAAATAAAAAGATTATTAAAAAAAGAAGCATTTTATAAAAAAATTAGAAAATTTAAGGGGGGGGTAACATAGATATATATAGCCGATGTATAAATTTTTACAGCTTGCGTATATTATCCAGCAAAATAATGGTTACATGTAAATTCATGTGTAGTCAAGCACAGTTTGGGTGTTGTTGTGGATATAATTTAATAAATACACCAAAAGCACAATAATCCTATACTGATTGTTGAAAGTAGTATTGTGAATAATCAGAAAGTACCAAACATTTTTTTTTTGGTACTCTTCTGTTATCAGGACTAGATTCAGAAATGTATGTATATATGCATGTATGTAGGGATGTATGTGTTCATGTATGCATATATGTATGTGTGTATGCACATACATACATATACACTTGCATACACACGTACATTTCAGAATCCGGTCCCGATAATAGAAGATTTTTTTTCTTTTGGTAAGTTAAAAAGACTTTCTCTTATATGTAAATTTAATTTTGGTACTGTTCTGTTATCAGGACTGGAGTCATTGCCAAATGTTCTGCTAAACTCGCCAAAAGATTGATTAATATGAAGTCGCAAATGTTTACTTTTAAAATTGTAAGCGTAAAAGAATACATTTCATAATTGGTAACGAGAATACAAATTCTGAAGATGTAATGATCACTTTTGTTTTTATTATTCTTGTATTTACCATGGAGTTGAAAATTTGGGACTTACCTAATAATGAAACATCTTCCATACAGTTTCTTCAGGAACAAGGAATCATTCACTCTGTGCACAAAAAGTCATAAAATGAAGTTCTACTTCAATTCAAAAGAAGCACCGAAATGGAGGTGTGAAGATCTGGATTTGGACATTTCTGCATTAACCATAAGTATAATTTTATCGATCCTGATGCTGTTTAGCATAATCGAACTTTAGAAAAGTTATGGGACAGTGCGAAACAGAGTTCAATGTGGCACTGAACATAACCAATTAGATTCTTATTAGAGTTAATGTGGTGGCAGCAGCGTCCTAAAATACAAATCTTTTCAGACATTTTAAATATCGGCAGTTTCCTGCCTCTGCATTTAATCTTAATTCACGAAATTCACTGATTTTTTTTTCTAATTTCTTTGGTAAGTTGCTTAATTTACATTAAAAATTTATAATTGTGTGAGTATCTGTTATTTTCCTCCTTGGATTTTTCTTCAACTGAACCGTATCATAAATATTTTGGCGATTGTTTTTATGCTTCGAATTTTTCTCCAAATCTTTAGCTTTTGGCAATATCTGAATCCAATCCCGATAACAGAACAATACCTTAATTTTTTTATGTACTTTGCAATTTTTTGTAAAGGTGCAAAAAATTGTACCAGTTTTACGATTTGTCACTTTTGTGTTTAATGTGTGACTAAAAATGGCTCTTGGAAGACAAATTTGGATAACCTTTTGAATTTGTACTTTTTCATACAAACTCATCAAAAACGATTTCAAATAAGAAAACAAATGTCATAAAACACTTTTTTAGAATTATTTCTAACCAAAAATAATAAAATCTGACGTGGACAGTATACTAACGTCCTTGTACAATCTACTGAATTATACATATTTTTTGCTGCGCTTCATTTTAAGTTATTTCCTCTAATTTCATTACAGATATTTGGTTGCTATGAAAGTTTTCCCCCCAAAACATTTTAATAAAGCTAGGGGGGGGACCCACGAAAGCAGTACCTTTAGTGCAGGTAGTAATCGTCACCCAAATGTATGATTTTCTGCCAACATTTTGGTAGTTTTCAAAGACTTTAGCCCAGAAACTTGATGGCCATGAATCTAAAAACAGATCAACCTTAGATTATAATAGATGTCCTGTGCAGAATGGAAGATAGCTGCAGGTGTGAAAAAAGTTGAAGTCGGAAGCAGCGATGTTGGAGCTATATGGTGGGTGTGGCGAAAGATCCCATTTGAGTCCATACAGAGTCCAACTGGTGAATGCAGGCACATGAGGTCTTGCATAATCTTGATGGAATATTACCTTTTTGCACTGGAACTCAGTTCAATTTCTTTTCTTGATAGCAGTGTCAACATGGAGTAGCGCATGATCATTTTGTTAGTCAAATTTCAGTTTGTGACACTGTCAACAGGCTCACTGGGCGCAGACCAACCCTCTTTTTTGGCCTGTGCTGTTGAAATAAATCTACTTTTTATCACAAGTGACGATCCAGTCCAGAAATTTGTCCTTCCATTGATATTCGAGCAGATTAGTGTGGGCCTGAACACGTCTGTCCTTATCTGCTTGAGTCAGCTCATGCGGCACTCAGCAATGGAACTTCTATGTCAAGTTTATGCAATGCGCTGTGCAACTAATGGACATAGCACTAACGTCTAACTCCTTAGCAAGCTCTCGAGTGGTTGCATACTGATCTTTCTCCATAAGTTCTTGCAGGCGGGCCTCATCAACATCAGTATGCCGGTCAGAGTGTTCTGCTTCTTGAATGTCATAGTCCTTGTTTTTGAATTTTCAGTACCTAACCTTCATAGTGTCATATGATACAACATTAGTACCTAAAGCTGTACACATTTGATGACATTCTGCAGCTTACTTTTTCCAAGAGAATTGGAAATAAATTGTGGTTCTAATCTGGTAGCATGATAGTTCCATTTCAGACGCTTTGTACTTAACAATATTTTTTTACAAATTTTGCAACACAGTGTTCTAAAGCAAGTCTCTTTCAAATGCCAAAAATTATTTGACAAAATATGATTAAACACGGCAATGCAAACTATTTGCACAGATGATATTTGCAGGAAACTTTCATTAAAATCCAATATTTTTTCAAGTTCTTAACAGGTTAAATGCTTTTTCTCTTGCGTCTTGAGGATTAATGTCTTTTAATAAATAACTAATGTAATTGAATTACAGTTTCAATTTTTTTTAAAGTCTTTGTTTAACAAATTGATTTCATAAGATTGATTACTTAAAAACTTTTTAGAGTTGTTTCAGAATAATCCACTTTAGAATTATATTGCATTATAGATTTTCTGCTCAAGTATAAAATATGAACCTTGGCAGCAACTAGAAAAAGATACTATTGAGCAAACTGTAGCTGCTGCTGTTTCTGAAGGGTTTTTTGATAGACTGCCATGTTATGAAATCTCTGGAGTTTGCAGTATGAATACTGAAACTTGTAATAAAAGGTAAAGTGTAATATAAATATATATATAGTTATGCATTATATTTAATTTCAGATGTTTTCCATTTGAGCACTGTAACATTCAAGTTTTTTACTTTTTTAAAAACATTCTAGAGTTAGGAGAATGTTGTAATACTTAAGTTATTACTCTTTTCATATTCCCCCCCCTTTGCCATTTGATGCTATGTTTTTTTTTTTTTCCAATAATACTTTGATATTTCTTTTAAAAGCAATCAGTTGAATATCATGAATTTGGCCTATTTTGTCTCTAAATAATATTTTATGAAAAGCTTTGTGCTTTCCATATTGTTAGCCATTAAAATTGCTGTAGTGTGAAGGAAGCACACAACAATCCTGAAATTTGCGGGAAATGAAGAACATGCCGGGAGATGCAAATGATTAACATTATTTGACAATTACATATTCATGTTATAAGGAAGTGAAATGATACATCAAAACAGTTAATGAAAATGTTGGTTTTTCATATAGATATTGCAGCTTTTCTGTTGATGGTTGTGTTATGTCTCTTGTGAGAAGGAGGAATTCATACCAGCACATCTCAGAGTTTGATGGTGTGTGAACTGTAGTCTACTGAGTTTGCAGATTCTTGTACTTTGCAGTTTCTACTTACATTAGTTGATATCCAGTGATTGTGACAATAATTTATAATAGATAATAGATCCAAGAAGGCCACACAGAGTTATGTGCATGATCTCAAAGGCCCACTCACATTATGCCTGAGATTACAGACATTTTCTCCACATCATTATTATTGATCGTACAGTCACATCAGATCAGGAAATCTTTAAGTCTGAAAAATGGGTATGCTGCATAGTATCGAGCATCCATGTGTGCAATTTGATAATACCTACAATGCCATCGACTGCCAGCAACGTAATCATGGCTTCAGCTTCTCTTGGTACTGTGTTGAAGGAATCAACATTTATGGGGGGGGGTGTTTACGCATTTGTAGAACAATTTCAATAAAGAATTTTAAAAAAGCATATATTCTGGAATAAAAATTTCTGGCTACAGTTTATTATTTTAAATGAGGAGTGTCTTCTGCTACTTTTAAATTTATTCTTTCAAAATGTCACATGTAAACAAGATGCAGATTGAAGGATATGACTGCAACAAAAAAAGGTCTATTACTGAAAACAAAGAAAAAAAATTACAGACTTGATGCCATCAATGCAAAGAAAGTTTCAGTAAGGGGTTTATGAGTGTTGCAAGGATTCTTGTACAATGGGAAATTAAATATAAGAGTGGGAAAACAATGCTAAAATCAACTCAATGAACTATTAAGAGAAAGGTTTATGTCTGATATTTACTGAAGAAATTCTGTTTCTTTATCCCATGAACTTTCAAAGAGTGAAACTTTGTCAAGACAAAGTAACAAGTCAAGCTTCGAAAAGTATTACTGCATTCTTTGAAAAAATGAAGATGCATACAGTTACTGCATATATACCTTTCCAACATTTCATGTCCCCTGATATTTTGCTGTGGACTATTGTGCGACTTTGGTCTCTTGAAAAGAGCTCTTTCTAAGCACAAAGCTACCATGTTTGGGAGACTCTGGAAAGTAGTAAAAGAGGAATAGAAATCAGTATCCTGCAAATTTTTACGACAAACCCTTCTATGATTGAAATCATGTTGCAGTCTTAATAGTCCACAAAAAAAGCTATCAGATAGAACTTTAAAAAATACTCTGTAAATTTTAGACATTAATTAAACAGCCCCCAAATAATTCTAAAAATCTGTAAAGACCTTCTGTACAATGAGGCGTTCACTGGTGTGCATGGTGTCAATGGTGTTATATTCTCTTTTCCTAATTCACTTATATCATCATGATGGCAATATTCATGTGGACAAGTAACCAACAGAAACAAATGCTAGAAACTTGCATACCAGCCCAGTCCTTGGATTAAAATTATGGAGTGCCATGGGTATACATTGGGTTATCTCTAGTCATCATATATAGTACTTTGGCCAGCTACCATTACTTTACCGAGGTTTTGATGCCCAAGGCAATGTCTAAAGTCTCTGTGGCAAGGCAAGTGTCTATGATAATCACCATATCTTTCAACAGGATATTACCACATTTTGCCCTTCTGTTGTGTGTTTCTTTTCAGTACACCAAGTGTTAAACTCTTGGCTTGGCTGGCTTGTTCTCTTGATTTTCACCAATTAAAAATGCTTGACCTGTGGTTTCAGAGAGAATCAAACAATATCCTCTCCCCTCCCCTAGACAGTATGGCAGATGAAATCTATCTTAGAATTGAAGCCGCATGTCAGGTCTTGAAAATCTATTTGACCTAATGCTGTATAATAGCTGCTTTTGTTTCCAAAGACAGATGTTCGGGATATTGATTTCTGCTTGTTCTCTAACTCCTGAAACTTTAATCATTTCACTTTTAATGCAAATTATTTATAAAATAAATATCATTCTTCTGATTGGTTTCCTTCATCATGTGGCAATCTTAATGGCCAGCAATGCGTATAGAATCCTGAGTATCAGTTTGATATTTTATTCAAATAACAATGATCCAGTTATGCTTTAAAAAAATGTGACTGAGAGGAGCAACTTGTGCAAAATTTTCATCCAAGAGGTTATGCAAAGAAAAAAGAAGAAATATTCTAAAAGGCAGAATTTTCTAAAGCTGAAAACGTTTTGTTGAAATTTTTCACTCACAAAGCTATTAGATTTCCTAATAATTGCCATGGAACTGTCAGGGCTGATCAAGCACAGGAACAATGTGATATTTTGTAGTCACCCATAACTCCCGAACAGGACATATAAAATAGAATGCATTCCTACTATCTGAAACTAAGGAATGGGAAACATAACACATCGTTCTTTTCTCAATGGCTCAACAGCCTAAGGTGGGTCCCTAGCCTTCTCAGGAAGCTTTTTTGAGGCAGTCTTCTCCCTACTAGCATTTTCCAGTTTTGGTTTTTATGACCAGTAGGTCATTTTCTAGGCAGTCTAACCATCTTAGATTCGGTCTACCTTTTTTCCATGTCCCTGTTGGTAACATAATGTGTCTGTCAGTTATAAATAAATATAATCTGCAAGTTTGTCTGTTAAGTGCATTCCTATGTCATAAAACAGAAACCCTTGTTTAGTCTACTGAAGACTGTTTCAAGAATTTAAGAAATAAAATGGATGTTTATCAGCTGAAAAACATCTTTAGCATTGATGAAAACAGTATTTTGTTTTTACTTTATGTCTACAAGAATTCTTGTCTTTAAAGCAGTGCAATGAAATCAAGCAAAGTGAAGATTCACTATTTTATTCTCTGCAAATGTTGTTGGGAGAGAAAGGATGACATATCCAGTTACAGAAACTAAGAAGTTCCAAAATAACTTTGTTTTTGTTATACAAAGGATATACAGAAATGAAGATGACCGTAAGTTTTTTTTGCCAAATTGCTTGAGAAAATGGCTGAAGAGGGTAAAAAGACAGAATTCTAAAATTTATTTCACAGTAACCCAGTTACCTCTTAGAAGCAAATCTCACATTTCTGCTTATATAGTCTTGGGATGTGAGTTGTTAATATGTTTCTCTCGATAAGCATATTAAGTTTCTACATTCTGACTGACTGATTTCAATAAGTATATTTAACATGTCCTACACATCAGATTCTATGAGGGCACTGCAACCTTAAGACATAATTAAAAATTCAGAAGTATTCTAGAGAAAAATTTTAAATTCAAATCACCCTTCAAAACATTATTTCAGAGACAGGTATACAGAGGAATCCAAAAATAAGATACTCGCTGTTTGCTAGTCAGTATCTCGTAACAAATTTGACTTGATGTGATAGAATTGAAAGTGAGATGGTTATAGCATGCATTCGAAATGGCCAACAACAGCTTTTGTACAATACCCATGGCACCAATCTGCACACAAAAACTATTGCTGTTAGTGTATGTAGCATAATGTCTGTACATGATTTTTTTCACATAACTTGTCAATTGTTGCTGGTTTTTGTCGATGCATGTCATTCTTGATGGCTCCCAAAAGTAGGTCTTAAATCAGGAAACCTAGGTGGGTACTCAACAGCACCTCTTCAACCCACCAACCATCCAGGTAGACATAACATAACATTCTCGATTATAGTGAAAGGGGGCATTATCTTGCTGCATGTAGAAAAGTTCGTCACTATACAGGTTTTGGATGGCAGGCAAAATCCTGGTCTGAAACATATTAAGATACATCTCTTCAGTTACGGTACGGACCCTCAAAGAAGAAGGGACCAATCAGTGTAAACACGGATAGACTACACTACATAACAATCCCGGTACACTGCCCTGTCCATATGAGCATGAGGATTTTCAGAACTTCGCAGACACAATTCTGGCTGTTCACATTACTGTTAAGTTTGAATAGTGCCTCGTCAGTCCACACAAACTTTCTTGCAAATTCCTCATTCTCACCAATCATATGCTGCAACTATTCGCCGTACTCCATCTTTCAATCTGGGCTGTCCTCATTCATCATATGTAGCAGTCTTGGAATGTACACTTTTCATTTTGCAGTCTTTAGACTGTGTCTTACACTTGAACAGCTCACCGCAGTTCTATGCCCTCCCTGGTTCACTGATTTTTACAGTGATCAGGTGAGTGTTGCAACACTGATGCATTGGATGCTGGACTTGTAGCTGTTCGTGGTCAGTTGGATCTTTCCTTGTGTACATTTTTAACAGTTCCATCGGCTCTGAATTTATCATGAATGCAGTTAAATTTTTGATGCATTAGTGTTCCAAACTCTCTTTTGCCATTGCCATTGTACATCTTTAATGTTCTTGTATTTCCAGTACCATTTCAGTACAGCCTTGCATTCAACTAATGATAAGTGAACCTCAGCCATTGTTGCTGCTTGACTGTCATTTGCTGCATTGGCTAATATGACTGGTTTTTTCCACCACCAACTACCTGTTCATGTGCGGCATAAATGCCATCCCCACCTGCAACAACAGATTTTATACCTTTTATACTATA